GCACCCAAATTTGCTTTCTCGCCGTGAGCCAGGGTGGCTGGGGCTTGCTCTTAGCACGAGCCCTGGCTGCCGCGATGTGCTTTCAGCCCGGTCGCTAATTACCCTTTTACTCTGCTTAATGGAAATTCCCCTGCTTTGTTTTGCCAGCGGTTTATTAACCCGGTGGCTGCTTTTTTGAGGGAGGTGAGAGGAGGAACGTTTCCTCCCATAAATATCCTTTACAAGAGCCACAGGCGAAGGCTCTGCTGGGTGCAGGGCGGGGGCTGCGGCCACCATGGGACCCTGGCTTGGGGCTCGACTACCCTTTTACTCTGCTTAATGGAAATTCCCCTGCTTTGTTTTGCCAGCGGTTTATTAACCCGGTGGCTGCTTTTTTGAGGGAGGTGAGAGGAGGAACGTTTCCTCCCATAAATATCCTTTACAAGAGCCACAGGCGAAGGCTCTGCTGGGTGCAGGGCGGGGGCTGCGGCCACCATGGGACCCTGGCTTGGGGCTCGACGTGGAGCCTGGTTCCTCTATAAACCGGTGCTGAAGGTGCCTGGCCGAGGTTGCACCGGCCGTTCGTGATCTACGGGGCTGGTGGGACTCCCAGTTTGCACCATTTCCTCTGCCTTTGCTGTATGGGCAGGATGGGGGCAGCACCCTGGGGTGCCTCCACCCCACGGCACAGGCTGGGGGTCTACCTGCGGGCAGGGGGTGCTCTGCCACGCCCACCGTTGCTTGAGATGCTCTGATCAGATTGCCACAGCTTTTTAATGAAAAGATAATTCTATAGAGTTTTCTTTTCTCTAGGTGCTTTCTTCTCTCTTTTTTTTTCTAGCGAGGTAAAATCACGAATGTTTTTCGTGTTAATTTTGCAGCAGTTCATTCACTTTCAGTGCTTCCCCCCGAGACCCATTCGCCATTTCCCTCTTTTCCCCTGGTTTTGTCGCACCTGGAGGTGAGGGCAAAGCAAGAAAGAGAAACCCAGGGCTCACGCTCTTCTTGTATTTGCACTCCAAAAATGGCAGAATTTCAAATTTCTTTTGGCTTGCACCTTTTTTATTGCAGTTAGTTTGGAAAAGAAAAAGAAAAATTGTCCTTCAAAGCTTTTTTTTCCCCCGTCTTTTGACCAGCGTTAGCTGTGAACATGCTTGTTGGTGGCATGGGGCGTGCAAGCCGGGGATCATAGGTGCTGTGTAGACATGTGTGCTTAAGGAAACAGATGTGCAAACCTCTGCCACTGCCGGGGTGGTGCTTTGGCCCCATCCATCACTGGGGGACCTCTTGGAGATGCTGACCCAGAGGCGAAGGCAGCTGGGTAGGGTATTTTGGGGTAGTTTGGGAGGCACAGCAGGATCGTGGTGCACAGGGACCTCTTGCACATGGAGCTCAGCACCGCGTTGGGTGTCGATGATGTCCGCAGAGAGGTCAAAAGTGGCAGAAGGGGACAGGAGAGGTGGGAGGAGAGGGGCAGCCTGCTTCTCCTCTGAGCCTGTCCCAAAACCTGCTCCTCATTAGGCTCAGTTGGAGCAAGGCTGGAGGCTCCGTGATTGTGTGTGTGCAGTGCCCTGGCACGGCGGGGCTGTTTAAATTGCAAACAAGAATCAATCCCCTTCTCAGATGTGGTGGCGCATCGCGGGGAAACCGTTGCTTCGCCAGCCGCACCCCGTCACCGCAGGCGCCACAGGATCTGGCCCTGCTCCCCCCATCTCCTCCCACCCCGGCACAAACAGCGCCAGGCAGGAGCGGGGCAAGGGGGAGCTGTGCCCAGGGCCGAGGGGACCCATTTCAGATCCCTGCGCTCACTCAGGGCTGGGCTGGTGGGTTCCCTGCGAGCAGGTTGTGATGGGAGGAAGGAAAGTAGCAGTCCTGACCCTCCTCCAACTCCCATCCTTCCCAAAGCTTTGGATGCTCTTGGCCAAACACACTTTCTGCTCTTTTCTGGTTTTGAAAGTCAGCTGAGTGCTCCGGCAGAAGCTGTAGGCCCTTCTGATGACGTGCCAGACCCAGGTCTGTCTACCTTTTGAATTACACCCTGCCACTCATCCTTCTTCAGGAGTTCGTGTGCTTTCTATCCAAATTCACTTCTTTCCTTGGCTCTGAAGTTCTTCCCTGAGACTTTGGGGTGCTCCTTGTCGCAGTGGAGAACCCTACGCCATGGAAGGGTACATGGCTCAATGTTTCATCCTTCGTACTCTGCATCTCCACCCACTAGTTGCTTTGAAAATTAGGACCGTTGTTCTGTCCGCAGCAGGTTGGGATCCATCGGAGGGACCTGGTGTGCCCCCAGCAGCATGGACATGGCTCTGCTAGAGTTAGAGCTCTGCAGCCTGGAGGCGGCCCTTGGTGGCCCTGGAGGCCAGGATCTCGTCTGGCAGGAGGAAATGAGGTTTCCTACTGGCTTGAAGGCAAAAGAGGCATTTTTGGAAGGTGACAACCAGAAACGGGGCCCCTGTCAGGGAACAGAGGATAGTTGGCAGCCAGATCCTCAGCATTTCTCTGCCGCTGTTTGCTTCTCGGTGGAGGTGAGGACCTGTCACTACCCTGGAGATGTTGCAGAGCGAGGAGAACTGTTACTGGGTTTGGGGCTGCAGATGGGACAAGGTGCAGCATCGACCCCTCTCTCCGTGCTGCCAGGGCCATGGGCACAGAGCATCCCAGTCTGAGACCCAGCGGGGAGGAAGCCGTGGTCCTGGTTGGTGTTGGGGTGGAGAAGCTGGTGACAGCTGATCCTCTGCGAGATCCCCAAGTCTTGCCCCGTGATCTGGCTGTTCAAAAGCCCTTCCTGAGCGTTCCCTGCAGGTGATCCCGGGTGTCTTTTCCTTCTTGATACTTGCTCCCCCAGGCAGCTTTTGGCCGGGATGTGCAGAAGTAGGTCTGTCTGCAAGAAAACCCGGCCCACCTCCCCATTCCTGCGTGCAGACCTCATCATTAGGGGGCTCAGGCTTGGTCCAACGATTAGCAAAACATCAAGGAAGGTGTTTATGGGCAGTGGGTGCAGAGGACAGAGGTGGGCGACCTTCTGGCCTCTGAGGATGCCTGTGAGGAAGAGGAGGGCTGTGGCAGTGAGGGATGGAGGTGAAGGCAAAGGGAGGCACCTCTGGCCACACTGAAGCGAGGTCCCTCAGCCTCAGGTTGCAACGTGAAGGGAGGTGAGCTCTTGCTGATGTCTGACTTTCCTTTAACCAAAATAAATGACACCGCATACTGCATTACCTAATTTTTATTTTTTTTTTAAACATCCAGCAAAGGTCAGAAAAATATTTCCCTAGCAATGTCCCCAGACCTGAAGGCAGGGCCTTCTTCCCCAAAAATAGTCGTGGGCAACAGAAGTAATGAGCCGTGTTTCCTGCGACGCTCCCGAGGCTGGTACGGGTGGAGCAGCCCAGCTCTTCCCCCCAGGGGAACACGGAGGTCGACGGGGCTCTGCGGGGCTGTGGCTCTCCCAGACTTTGCAGGAACTTCATCATGGTGTTACCAAACTTGCCCAAATCAGCCTTTTTGGGACAAAAGCTATGAGTAGAGACACGTGCACACTTTTATGCAGGTGAGCACAGCATTTGCTGCTCGGGGGCTGCTCCCCAGCGGCGGTGGATCGGCACAGGGGCTGCAGAGATCCCAGAGGAAGGAGTGAGACAGAGATTGGCAGCTGCAGAGACCCCAGCTCTGCAATAAATACTTTATTCCCTGGGGCAGTTTAAACCCTACCGAAAGCACCTACAAACTTGGATCAAACTTGGGGAACAGTTTAAACGGGAGGTGGAAGGATGAGAAGGGGGAGAGGGATGTGGCAAAGCTGAAACGCCCTGCTGCAGCCGTTTCAAAGTGGAAGACTTTGACATTTCTTTGCTGAAACAAACATTTTGCAAACAAAAAGCCCTGTAATGAATTGAATTATTCCTTTTGACCTCAGATTAGTTCTTCTCTGTTTGTTTATTTGTTTGTCCTTCACTTTTGCCCTTTTTTTGGGGAGTGGAGGAGGAGAAGGGAACTTGTTCATGGAAAGCCAATTCCCGAATGAAATTCCCACCAAATCTTTCACTAACCTTAATTTTGGCCCTGAATGCTCTTCCTCCCATGCCCACCCTCTCCTGGGTGGGTTGGGGTGGCTTTTGCTTAGGTGGTCTGACACCCCGCAGCCATCGGGGTCCCTCCACCCCACTCTGCTCCCCTCCAGGGCCAGGTTTCGACGGTGAAGGAGGAGTCCCAGCCTGTAGGGGCCATCCTACTCCTTCTTCCTGGGAAAGGTGATGGATCCCAGGCCAGGAGCCCATGCCCGGGGCCGCGGTCTCTGCACCGCTTGCTCTTCCCGTGGTGACCTTGGAAGCAGGAGCCAGGGTTGTTCCTGCCCGTGCATGTGTGCATTGGGTGTGTTTCTTTGTGTGGCTCCAAAGCCTTTCTTCCCTCCTTGCCAAGCCTGGCTTTGGTCCCTCCTCCGATGGATGACGGGAACAAAGGATCACTTTGTTGTCCTCATCTGAAACAGAGAAAACAAACAGACACGAAACCCCTCTGCTCTGAGGTTGCTGAGTGTGTTGTCTATCTCATCCAAGTGGGGTGAGAAGTTCAGCCTGAGGTCTGTTTAAAACAAGTCTATGCGCACAAGAACTGGAAACATCATGGTTACTGGACGCGAAGAAACTCCTAAAACTCATAGAAAAGCCATTTTTCTGTAGCCAGGTCTCCTGGGCTAAGCCCTTCTAGTTTGCTTCTCTGGGAGATGCCCACGCAGTAGGGTTTTGCAAGGGCTGAGTACAGGCAAGTGGCTGCTGGACCAGCCCTTGCTCCTGCCTGCTCTGCACCCTGTTCTCCATGCTCTTTCCTGGGTCCTCATCCCCATGGGATGAGCAGATGGAAAGACAACCATGACATCCACCTGCGGCCCCAAGGGGTGAGCAGACCTTTGCTCCTTCTGCTCGTTGACAAAGCAGTCACAGAGGAGCTGTATCCCACTAGTCTCCAAGAGTTGCGTGGGTCTCCTAGTGGGAAGTGAGCCTGGTGGGATCTTTCCGTCATGGAGCAGCTGTGAATTCAGTGTTTTCAGCTTGACCCAAGGTCTGACGCAGGTCTGGTCTGATGGGGTCAAAAGCAGTGCATTTGGGGACCAGCCCGAGCTGGTGAGCAGGGGGCAGCGCTGGCCGGCTTGGCCTGGTGCTCAAAACCAGCTATTTTCTGGTGAGAACATCTCATTTCTCCCCCTTCCCCATCTTGAAGGAAACACACCTTGCAAGACAGAGGCAGAGCTGCTGCTTGCTGCCCAGGGCAGGGGTCGGTGATGGCAGCTCTTGGTTTGCCAAGGAAAAGCTGCGCTGGCACTCGGTGTTTCGTTTGTACTAGACCTTGTCCTGAGCTCTCCTAATCCCCTTCTGTTAAAAACACCCTGGGTCACATCCCTCCCTGGCTCCTGCAGTGAACTGGGCTCCCTGTGTGTGCAAGCCCTCGGTGTCCCCAGGAGGAGATGGTGTCCTGCGCGGAGAAGTATTAACTGCTGTTCTGTAACGTGGGTTTTTGCTGCAATTTCCCTTTAATCCCCCGTTTTTTTCTCTGCAACCATTCAAACCCCGTCCCTTTTGATGACGATCAATGAAAGCCCAAGCCCCGCTCTTGTGCTGAGGATGCCTTGTCTGGGGAGACCCCAACCTTATAACCCAGGGGAGGGGGAAGGCAGCACTCTTTGGGTTCATTCGTTTTATTTCTCCTAAATTGTGCTTTTCCTGATGTATGTTAAACATTGTTTCTCTAACCCCATTGATAACCAATCATTTTAATTTGTAGCTTGCGGAGGGTATGACCAGCTCAGCATTAATTAACATACCAGCTTCTTGGGCCCAGCCTCATGTATGTATTGCTTAATTTCTAACTTAATTGCTTGATTAATGGGTTTTATGAATGATATGTGTGCATATAGACGTATTTAAAGATCGGTGAAAATTGAGGCATATCCTTTTGTGAAAGATCCCCTCTCTGTCCTAGAAAAATGGCAGTTTCCTCTTGCTACAGGTGTGTGTGCATTTCAGCAGTTGTTTTTCCTTCATGCCAAAGAAAACGGGGTCGGTTTTGAGAGGAGGGATGAGGAAGCTTCATCCCTCTCGTCCTTGCGGAACCGGCAGAGTTACGTGCGTGGTTGAGGTGAAATGTCTTCCCGACAGCAGGGCCTGGTAGCTCAGTGGAGATGGTGTGTCCTGGGTGGCTGCAGTGGCATGGTTGAGGACCTGATGGGACTTCTGTGACCCTCCGTGTTCTAGCTCAGGGACCGTCCGAGGCATCATGTTGGTATAAGTTGAACCAAGAAGGTGCTGGCCTTCCACGAGGAGGAGGGTTTCACCCCACGGGAGGTTTAATCTCGTCAGTAGGACTTTGCACAGTCCTGGTTCTTGCAGGGATAGGCTGGTGCCTTCGAAGCGTGGGGATGAGGGAGATGCTGGGCAGCACCCGAGCAGTGACAGTTCTCTCCTGGCAAAGAGTCTCCTGCTCCCTTTGTGCATTTTACATTAAAAAATCAGACGTGTAGGGTGTTCCTGGGTTTTGTAAGGGGCAGTGAAGCTGCTTTGCTTTCTCATGGCTGACACTCCAGAGGAACAATTCTCCTCCATACAGACGTGTAGGGTGTTCCTGGGTTTTGTAAGAGGGGCAGTGAAGCTGCTTTGCTTTCTCTTGGCTGACACTCCAGAGGAGCAATTCTCCTCCATGCCCCAAATTCATCCCTAACAACGTTGGGACCTTGGGGCTTTTCACCCCTCTTAGATCCCTCTTGATACCAACCCATGGGTTACAGGACACGGGCTGTTCCTGCCAAGAGCCTTGCACGTTCCTCCCACATGTTTTGGGCCAGAACTAGCTGCGTTGCTTTCCACTGCCTCGCTGCGATAAACAGCGACTCCTTCCCGCTGGCTGAACCTGGAGTGGTGCCCCCGTGCTTCAGCCCTGGGGTGTAAAACGCCGATGCGTCAGCCCAGACCTTTGGAAGAAGGTCAGCCCAGAGGTGCTTTTTTGTGCAGTGTCTTTGGGAGGAATAGTGTCCCTTTGAGGTCTGGCCCTGTGGGGTGGAAGGAAAGATAAAGTGGGCTTTCCCTTGCTGAGAACAGAGTCAAAATCGAGCAAGCAGAGCACACGGGTAAGAGATTGGTTGCAGATTCTCGTGGCAGCTGTGGCTTTTGCATCAGAAGCCCCTGAGAGGTATCTCTGAAGGTTTGGTATAGGGCTGGAGGGATGTTTAGTGTCCAACCTGTCTCTCTGTAATGCGTAGCTACATGCTCTGTTGGCCCTGCGTGCATCTCTCCTGTAGCCCGTTAATCCCCTGTACCCACCACGCATCGTTCGGTGATGTGGCACAGAGAGGGCAGATGGGTGGCTCTGCTGGGATGTGGAGTATGGAAACAAAGGCTCCATAAATAGCCTCCCCCCTCCCTCTGTTCTGCAGCATCTTTAATTTACGTGAATATGGTTTTGGTTTAGTCCAAATAAAAACAAAACAAAACAAAAAAAAAAAAAAAAAGAAAAAAGCTGCAAACTCGTAATTTAAAATAAAAGCAACAGAATATTAGGCAGTAATAAACCCATTCTCCTGGCCTTCACAGGACCCTACAAGAATGTGATTAAATGTAATAAACCCCACCATCACTGCTGATGCGTCTTGGGGGAAAACGTCCTGGTTTGGAGAGCCGGTCACCGAGACGGGCCGTGCATGTCTTCCTTCCCATCCCCTCCTCGTTTGTAGCTGGGGAGCTTCGCACGAAAGCAGGAGCTGCGGCATGAGGCGTAGGGGGCTGCAGCTGGTTAAATATCAGGAAAAAAGATTTTACGGCCAAAAAAATCCAGCCCGATGTGGAGCGTGTGAGGGAGGTCCTGAACTTTGCCGGGTTCTGCCTCCAACCGTGGAGTTAATGAACACAAACTGCTCATGAAAACGGGGCAGGCCTTGCCAGGGGGACCCGGAGAGCCACCGAGGAAGGCGATGGGCATCAGCTCCGCACACTGTCGCAGCAGTTTCCTACCCAGGAGAAGTGATGGGGAGGTCAGGTCAGGGCTGCCAGAGCTGGTGCTTCAGGCTCTGCCCGGAGCCTGCACGTATCCAAGCACTTAATCTGCAATTGTTTATGACCTGGTTCATAGACCCTTTCTAATCTGGCCTCTCTTCGCGCTCTGGTGCTGCTGTTGCCAAAATCCTCCTAGACAAAGTCCAGAGCTGGCCCTTCACCCCTCCTGAGAATCTTTGGCAAAAGCAAAGTGAGGCGGTTTTGCCGCACCCATCTCTCGTAGCACCACCTCTCTGATCCAGATCTGTCCCCTTGCTGCCGCGCTGAAATCCTGGCTCATCCCTCTGGAGTTCAAGTGACTCAATCGTGTTCAAAGGGTGAGACTCACGACTTCTTAAAATGCCAAAACAAGCTCTTTCATGAGCCATTTCCCCCTCCCTGCTCGGGAGGAACGCTCTGTAATCATCCACAAAATACCCTCTGTAATTATCCACAAGATCCCCTCTTTGTTGTCCTGTAAATCCCCTTTTCAAACCTTCAGACCATCCCAGGAGCCCCACCTGGGCTTGGCCGTTGTCCCCTCGAAGCTCTCTGAGGATGGACGTGCCATCGCCCTCCGCGACTCTGCTGTGATACCCACCAGAGCCGACCTGGGAGCGTTCAGGATGAGATCCTGGTGACCCGAGGGGTGCTAATTTGGGAAAGCACGGGGGACTGCAGCTCAGAGGAGAGCCCATAGCCATCATCATCAGAAGGTGCAATGCACCTCTTGCTAAGATCAAAGCCTGTATTTAGCCAGCTGCATCATAACTAAAGCTCAAGTAGGGGTGGTATAGATGCCACCACCAGGGATGGTGACACTGGGATCCTTTTACAAACAAGGGACTGTAAAGCTCTCCGTGCCTTTGGCCTGTTTCTAACGTCTGCCTGAAGAGCAACATTTACACAGAAACAGTTTGGGGCAGTTCCCCATCCTTCTCCTTTCCTACAGAGCACAGCACAACGGGAGCCGAATCCTGAGCGGGATCCCTGCGTGCCAGGGCAGCATTAGCGATTTATAAATAAGAGTGTGATTGTTAAGGGTAAGAGGAAAATGCAGAAATGCTTCCGAAGAATCACTTTAAAATGGCAACAGATACGGCTGGGAATCACCAGAAAGCTGCTCGTGCAGACAAAGAATAAGGGTGGTGTATTTGGGGAGGATACGTTGCATTTTGCAGGGAACCTGCTTGCCACCGAGGGGCTTTGAGGTCCCGGATCCCTTTTGGCAGGGTGTCCTTGTCCTTCTCTCCTGCTCAGGCTCAGGCTTGAAGGGGCAGGTCCCGATGAGTGAAAAGGTGAGGTTAGTGTGACAGCCCTGACGTGGGTGGAGGGACGCAGGTCTGCAGGAGAGCTGTCCCTTTGCAGAGAACCCCCCGCAGGATGGATGCCCACGCAGCCCCTGCATTCCCAGCTGTGAGACGGTCTGGCAAGATCTCCTCCCCGCCAGCCTTGGCTTGCTGGAACAGGAGCAGGAGTCGGGTAGATCTTGAGCGTTTCCCAGAGGAGAGGAGCTGACGAGGAGCCCTCAGACACCTCTGAGCTATGAAACGGTGACGAGGAGCCTCCTTTCTCCCCTGAGAAGCACTATAAGATGCTTTCTATGCAGTTATTTGTACCATTATTTTGGCTGGCAGCGCTTTGGTTGTAAGAAATACAAATAACCCATCAAACGACAAGTTAGCAAAGCTAACCCAAGCCAAAACCAAAAAAAAAAGTCAAAATCTGTAAACTATTTGGAATAATTGGTTATTTGCTGTGTTTGCTAGTTCCAAATCAGAGCGCATATTTTACGGCTTATCCTGTTACTGTTAGCTGGAAGAGCTCTTGGTGTTGGATATCTCCTGCAGAAAACAATCCCCAACCCACTCTGCGGCCCGGCGTTCCTCCCCGGCGCGTTCCTGACGTCCTTTTTTCTATCAGTGCTTTGTGCACGCTTGAGGGACGGCCCGTGGCACTGCCGTGGGTGATGGGTGAAAGCCCTCCCAGACCAACCGGTACAGCAAGCCGGCTTTCCACCAGCCGGGGTTGCAGGGGAAAGCATCCCCAAACATGAGCTACGGGACAGGGGAAAAATGGCCGCAAGAAGGCGCGTGGGTGGCTGCCTTCGGGTCAGCGTGGGTAAATGTAGACTGATTGAACAAGCTGGAAAAAAAAAACACTGAAAACAAACAGTTTTGTCCACTTCTGAGCAAGATTAAGAGTATGGTGAAAAAAAAAAAGAAGGTGAAAAAAAAGTAGATGGAACAGCCGTAAATGGGTAATTTCTCTTTACGAACAGACTTCGCACCTTGGGGGTTAATGGAAGGAGAAGCCAAGTCCTCTCACAGCCTCCCTGTGTGGATGCGTGTGGTTTTCTCCTCCTCCCTCCAGCCTTGCCATCTGCACGGTGCTGCTCAGAGCGGCTGCAGGTCCCTGGGATAGGTTGAAAGGAACCAGGCGAAAAGATCAGGTTAATCTGAGGATAAACCCAGAGACAAGTCCATCTCGGGGAAGAAGTTGGAGTTCAAGGACATGGGGAAGTTGTTACCACGAAATAGCTTTTCTCCAGCTCCCAAGGTCTGGCAGCTGCAAGGTCCCAAGCCCAGCTGGTGACACCTCCACCCCAGCGTCTTGGACAGGGCATGACCTCCGAGTAGGAAAATCTGATTTTTCCGGCCTCCCAGGCACTTCTGCAACCGCTCCTGGTCTGCATTTGTAGGTGACGGAGCTCCTTGGGCAGCGGAGGCTGACCTGCCTCCCCGGCGTGGGGACAGCTGGCACCTTGCTTGGGCGGTGGGTGGCTGGTGGGCTTTGTTGCAGCCGCTTCGTTGCAGAACCGCCCCGAGGATGCCTCCCGCAGCAGCGAGCCGCTCGGTTTCCTGCCTGGGTGTGCCGGCCTCTGGAGCTAGACAGAGCAGCAGAGGGATTTAGAACGTGGTCGGAAAACCCCAAGGAGTTCAGCTGCGGTGTTCAAAGAGATTTTTGCGTTCCCCAGCGGTTGGCCGTGGCCCCTCCGCTGGCGTTTTCTGCGCCCGCAGGAGGACAGGGCTGGGCCGGGTTGGTTTAGTCAGGCAGCGAGCTGGGCTGGCCAGGCTGCCTTTGCGCTGGGGCAGGCGAGGAGGCTTAATCCCACCCTCCACCGAGGCTGAGTCGCAGGGTGTCATCTCCTGCGAAAGCGCGGTAACGAACAGCTGGGGAGCTGCAGCTATACATGTCCGAGCTGTCGCTGGAGGGATCTTCTCATCCCAGCGGCTGAGCTTTCCCGTAGCAGGAAATCTGCCTCCCAGATGTGAGGGGTGAGAGCATTTTGGGGCTGAGGCAGTGGCTTAGCTTCTTTAGAGGCAGTATTTATTAGTGCTATAATTATCTGTATTCCCACAGGGAAGAGTGTGTAATTACTAGGAGCCTTGGTATTAAGACTTCAGTTGTCTCATGCTTGCTCTGCTCTCCTGGCTTTGCTGTCTGGACACTCACCTCTCTGTGCCTCAGTTTCCCCCACCTGTTTGGTGATGAAGATAAGGACTAAGTTCCACCAAAAGGCAATATGTCCATTGCATGGCAACTTCTCTGGTTTCCACACCTTTTGCTCCAGACTGAAATAGCCATTTCAACATATTTTCTGAAAGTTGGGTTGTGCTGGACAAGGCCAGGCTCCCGCTATCCCCACCTCGAACGCATCCGATGGGGTGGGCTTGCAAGTCTCAGGGCCACGGGGAGAAAATCTCTCTGGCTCAGCCTCCTGATAAAACTGAGGTTAAACCCGGTACGTTTCCCCTTGGAATAAACAAAACGAGATTGAAAATATCCCGAGAGCCGGTGGGAGGGCACAGGTCAGCATTTTGGGGTCCAGGGGAGGGAAGAATTTCAACACCCTCAACAGCAATGTGCATAGCCCTGGGTAAAAGTCCTGCGTGGAGATCGGGCACAGCTTCAGCCTCCTTCCCTGGTGTCTGAAGGTGGTAAGTGAACGGCGGCTGCTGGCTTTTGTCCGGGTCCAGAACGCCCTTAAGGCGACGTCTGAAGAGCCTCGCTGGCTTCAGAGGGATTTGCACACTCGATTGAAGTTAAGCATGTGTCTGAGGGCTTCTGCTGTGTGCAAGCCGTAATCCCAGAAATGTTTCAACTGGGAAGTTGCAGCCTGCTGGTGAAATCCTAGATTTAAAGGCTTTTTTTTTTTTTAAAAAAACCCCCAACAATATCTGAATTTATTTTTGGAAATAGCCGTTCTTTTGGCCATAAGACATTCCTCTCTTCTGGGATGTCCCCCTTGGGAAAGGCTCTCCTGCTACCCCTTTCCTGGATGCTCATGGAGTTGCTGAAATCCCATTCAGGCTGCTGCCTGGTGAAATGGTCCTGGACCCTCTTCCACCACTCCAGTGTTAGACAGTGGCCTCCCCAGTTCAGCAGAAGATGCCAAAGCTGGGCACCCTGGAGCTTGGAAGGTCTCAATGCTATGTTGGTATGGGACGGGAAAGTGTTTGCCATCCTGACTCCAGCCTCGGGGCATTTGCCCACGTGACGGAGGTCCCTGCTCTGCGGGGGCAGTGGTGGTGAGGGAAGCGGGAGTCAACGGGGATGGGGAGAGAGCAAATCTTCTGATAACCGTGACAGTGGCTCACTGCATCGGAGCGAGCTTCTCCCGAAGCCAAAATTTTAGCCGTCGGTCGCTTGGTGTGAAACGAACCCACAAGTGATGCTCACCCGTGGGGGGGTGTGTGCCCTGTCCCAGCCCCGTGGGGGCCGTGCAAAGGCTGGAGAGGGCACGCAGGGTGCTGGAGGTCCCGCAGCCACCTGCGCCGGGGCTCGGGGTGCAGACCCCGGCTCCGAGGACCCCTCTGTGCCATGTCCGAGATCAAACCCCGGGGCTGGTTTTGGCGGCCGCCCGGCTGCTAAATGAAATCCCTGCGTTCCGCCGCCTGCATGGTGGAGCCGTTGCTTTCCCTGGCTTTCCCATTTGCAGGCAAACGGATTAATGTCCTTCGCTATTAACATTCCAGCTGCTCCCCTTGCCTCCTCTTTTCTTTTTTTTTTCTTCTTTCCCCTTCTTTTTGTAACATCAGTAGAAATCAGCAAAAATATCTAACCAAATTCTTTGTCTTGGGGCTGCAGAAGATACCATGGGTAAGTCGTCAGATTAGTTTAAGTGCTTTCTTTGTAACTCAGTACCTGTGGAATGTCGTAATAAAGCCACGATGGTCAGAGTGTAGCTTTTTAAACAATAAAACAGGGAAAGCGATGAAAGGCAAATTTTTTACTTTTTTTTTAAAAAAAGGGAGGGAGCAGAGGCCTCAGAGTTAATTTATGTAATATTTCTATTAAAAACAATGTCTATTCAAGACAGCAATCTAAAGCCTGCACCGTTGGCTTAAAATATAAATCCAATAAACCTCTATTATGATTCCTCCATTAGGTCAGTGTGATGGAATTTTGCGGACTTCTAAAATAAGACATCATTATTTTTCAGGAATGTTTCATGAATCACAGTCAAAGCCCCTTCATCTTTGCTTGTATAAATTTCAAAAATGGTGCCCTTATAAAATACATACATTTGCTGAAGCCGGCAGCCGGCTTTCTTCTTGGAACAGCATCCTCGGGGCTGAAATGCCGTTTGCATCGCAGATGGGACAACTGGGCCTTGCGGCTGAGGGCTGTGGTGCTGTGAGGCGGGGGCTCGTGTGAGATTTGCCCATTTCTCTGTGTGATATCAACGAGAAGGGAGCTACTTACTTTGAGAGAGAGGCTCAGCACCCGAGGATCACTTTTTTTTAGTGGAAATAATGCATTTTATGCATTTATTTGTTTGCCCCTGCGCTTTGTTTGGGTGGGGAGGTTGGATGGTGCTGGGAGACAAACCAGAGAGGCAAACCCCACCCCAGAAACCCCAAAACCTTCCAGGAAAAGCCTAAAGCAGGGGTTGAGTTTAAGAGCAGCCCTCACAGCCCCCCTGAATTTCAGGCTGTCAGGACCATGTTAGCACAGGAGTTACTTTACCTCATCCTCCGTGTGGTCCTGCAGTGAGGTCCTGGGAGGACTGACGTCCAAACGGCCAACAGCTGCCCCTGGCCTGAAAATGCTGCAAGTTTCTTGTTGTGAGCTCTACCTCATCCTCCCGTGGAGAGTCATCCTCGCTGCGGGCAGGTCTGGGTCCATGGTGTTGCTGTGGCTGCAACAGCTGGATTTGAGCTGGGAGCATCCCCAAACCACCTTGAAACCAGGGAGCGAGGAGCTGCAGGTTGAGTTCAGGACAGCTTCATCCCCTCTGCAGGACGGGCTGTGCCGTGGGGTCGCTGCACAGGGCAGAAGTTCACCTCTAGCCGTTGTGGGAGGTGCTGCTGGTGTTGGTCGCTGGGGTTTGCTCGCGGAGATGTGTAACTTTGGTACCCCTTACCGCAGGAGGAAGAGTTCATTGACTGGTGGAGCAAATTCTATGCCTCCATAGGAGAGAGGGAAAAGTGTGGCTGCTATTTAGAGAAGGGCTTTGACACCCTGAAGGTAAGTGGCCTCGGTTGGTTCTGGCTCGTTGGACCTGTACTCTCCATGATGTTTTTCCACAAGCTTTGGGTTTGGTTTTTTTTTTTTTGAGCGTTTAGGCTTTTTTCCTTCTCGGTAAAAAGAAATAAATAGATCATTTTCCCCAGAGAGAAGGCCTTTTTTTTTTTTTTTTTTTAAAACCCTGTTTTGAAAACTCAATTTTCTTTGCAAAATCCTTTCTGGTAACTTTCCACTTTGCAGCCTTCCAGAAATCGTCGCTTTTTTAAGTGGCAGAGATGGGGAACTGCCACCTTGAAAAGTGTTTGGGAACAGCAAGGAAAACCAGGGACTGCTTAGGGTACGCTGTCACAAGAAGTGCTAAAAGTAACACAGAGGCCCAAATAGGGCTAAAATGGGGAAGATGTTACCCGGTCTTAAGGAAAACACTCCCAGCAGGAAGGTCTCTTCGGGTGATGAAGAGCCCTCTATGAGACCTTGGCTTAGTCTGGGTCTTCCGTGATGTGCATTTATTTATTCTTGGGTTGCCACAGATCTGTTCTTCACCACTGTCCTGGGGGGGTGACAAGGGTGACAGGTCCCAGGACTCTGTCCCTGTGGCTGGTATTTCCCCAGCACCGAGGAGCTTGGGTCCAGTCTTGTCCCAGATTTGTGGGGACATGCTGGTGGTTCCTCTCTGCCCGGGAGCAGTCCCTGCCCTCGCCCTCCCCGTCTCTCCCTCCCCAGGTCTACGAGACAGAGCTGGAGAACGTGGAGGACTTTGAGCATCTCTCTGACTTCTGCCACACCTTCAAGCTGTATCGTGGCCGGACGCAGGACTCGAATGATGACCCCTCGGTTGTGGGGGAGTTCAAGGTGTGATGGTCTCTCTACCTGTACCTGGGAACACGTGCAGCTGGGTAGAAGGTCTTGCTGCTGAGTGGGATGATGCCAGTTTTGACTCTTTTCGGGTAGGACTTCAGTAGGAAACGGGCCACAAAAGTAGACCACTGGTCCCAGTCTGAACAGCCTGCCTGTGCAGGTCTGGCTGCTGTGTTCCCAGCAGCGAGTGCCTTGCATGCTCCAAACCCAGTCTAGGCTGTGCTGTCATCCTGGAGCAAAAAAAGTAACCCCAGCTGAAACTGATGCTGCGTGTAAGTGATGGAGCCTCTTCTTCCTCAGGGGCGGTGGTGGGAGCATGTGTGAGCACTGATGGTCTCGCCACGCTGGTGCTGAGAGCTCTCCCTCTGGAGTGTCTGTCCAGTGCAAAGGAGCGATGCATCCTTTGTTCTTTTTAACCCGTAGCCTATTTGCAAGAGAAGAGGGATTAAAATTGTTTTTTTTTTTTCTAAAAAAAAAATTAATTCCTTCTCTTACCCAGCACTCTCCTCCCCTAGACAATACCCAGAGACTGATTCCTGCCACTTCACTGGGAGAAAATCAGCTCTGGTGAATAAAACACGTGTAAATTTTTTCATTTTCTCTCTCCTCCTCCCGTCCCTCTCTCAGGAACCAGCCGCCTTCTTCAGAAACCCTTAAAACTGCCCCTGCAGTGAAAGCCTAAACCTTTGCGGGGGGGGTCTAGTTCTCGCTGGCAGCCAGGCTCCTTCACACCGCTAATAGCTTGAAGGCTCAAACAACAGTGAAGTAGAAGAGGTAAAGGATGAAGGGGCTAGAGAGGCTCTGTGCAGAGCTGTAACGGGGTTTGCGTTGATGTTCCAGCAAGGGATGAACGACACAGGCAGGTCACCACCCTCTCCGTTGGCCATGAAGATCTTGGCAGGACATGGGCTGGGCCAGTAGACGAAAGGAGGTCAAGACCTGAGCTCTGTCCCCAGCGTTGTAGTGGTTGTAGGTGCCCCCGTCCCTGGAGACATTCAAGGTCAGGTTGGACGGGGCTCTGAGCACCCTGATCCAGCTGAAGGTGTCCCTGCTCACCACAGGGGGGTTGGACAGGATGACCTTTAATGGTCCCGTCCAACCCAAACTAATCTACAATCGATTCCGTGCAACCATCCAGGCTGTTGTTGCAAGCCTGCTCCCACGAGACCCATCGGGGTGTGTGGGTGTGTGTGTGTATGTGCAAGCGCAGCTGAACAACTCCGTCCTTTACAGGGTTCGTTCAAAATCTACCCTCTCCCGGATGACCCGCGAGTCCCGATGCCGCCTCGGCAGTTCCACCAGCTGCCGGCCAGAGGAACTCAGGAGTGTCTCGTCAGGGTCTACATCATCCGGGCCTTCGACCTCCAACCCAAGGACGCCAATGGAAAGGTACCCTGCTGGGGGAAGCTCCGGCAGACCTCAGTGCTGGCTCACAGGGGGTGCTCTTTGGGCAGGTCTGCCCTGATTGATCAAAATTGGTGCATATGGCTTAAAATCTAGAAACAATGGTGACAGCAAAAGGGAGAAAACCTCACCCTTCTTTCTGCCTCCATTGCAACATCTGGGATTCCCAGGAGCCGTCTCTGCCTCCATCCTGAGGGAATTTTCAGTAGGGCTAGTTAAAATGGCTAAATGAGTGGTGGTGGGGGGTTTGTTGTGTTTGTTTTTTTTTTTTTTTAAATTTTGGTGCCAAAGGAAACAAAACGATGTCTTTCACATGACTGCTTTTTGCAAAGCTTTACCAGTTTGGAAGAAAAATTCAGTGTAAAAAAGAAAATTGTGTTGGTTCAAAAAGAAAAAAGTTAAATTTGTTTCACTTTGCGAAAAAACTCAGGGAAAAATCCATCTTAGCTCTCTTTGTTCCACTGGAAAATAGGTAAAAAGTTAAAAAAAATTGTGGGAAATATTTTGACATGAACAAAACAAAACTGCTTTTTAATCTGCCCAGTTTTTGAAAATGGATTTGTAATGAAAGTTTTCAATTTTGTAGAAACCTCCCGTAAGAGACTCCTGCAGATCAAAAACAAGGAGTAGAAAAAATGCTTTTTTTACACTGAAAACCAAAACCAATCCACGCTGGACCCACAGTCTTTTCCCCTTTGCTGTGTTGTCTCCTGAAACTCACCCCAGTCCAGGAGAGGCAGAAGGAGAGCCCTGGATGCCCAGCCCCTGCTCACACCACAGACCTTCCCCAAGCACTTCTTGTCCGTACTTCACTTCTCAAAAAATTCTCCAGGTCAAGGAAAAGCGACAAGGAACTTGGCCTGGGTGTTTCTTCCAGGAGCCATAACTAGCCAATGTATTTCCATTAAAAAAAAAAAAAATTATCTTTTATTTTTGTGTGAGCTAGGATGGGGAGATCTCTGGTACTGGACTCAACCTGGGTGAAACCTTTTAGGTGAAGTTGTTTTTTTTCTTTTTTTTTTCTTCTTCCCCTGGCAAAAGTGCTGACTCGAGTCAATTTAACCACTTTTCAAATTTATGCTGGTTTCCCGGAATAGTTTTAGTCGTGAGAGAGAAGCTTAAAAACTTGCTAAAAATGTAAAAATATCAGATGCGATTTTCAGATGCACAATGAAGCTTTATGTTAAAGTATGCTTCCCTGTTATTTTTTAAAAAAATTGTTGCAGCATCTTGGAAATAAATGTTTTTGAGCCACATTTTTTGAAACAAAGTGGTTTACCTTTGACATTTTAGTCCCCTGCATTAGTAAACACATTTTTGAGTAGACCTCAAACTTAAAAAGTTATGACCTTGGTGGAACCCCAAATGAGGTGACTGAGATGAGAATGGGAACATCCTGAGGACTTCAGAGCAAGTCCATTCCATCAAAGAAGCCATAAGCAGAGTTTTTCACTCTCTTTGATTGCTTTTCCATCCCATCGGCCACAAAAGGGCTTGCACCCTTGTCCCACACTGCTAACTGGTCCTTCGGTCATCCTCAAAAAGGGATGGCCGTGCAGGCAGCTCTTGCTGACGGTCACAGCTCTGTAGAAAGGAGCTAACGGCCAGACTGTCCTCACCTTGAAAACTGACGTTTGTCAGGAGTGGTGGAAGATCTTGGTTGCTGGGGCAAGGGGAGGCAGAATTATTCCTTCGCCCCAATATCGCTGTGCAATGACTCTTTCTTGCATTTGTTTTCATGCCCATCTTTAGTGCGATCCCTACGTGAAGATTTCGGTGGGAAAGAAATCCATTAACGACCAAGAAAATTACCTCCCCTGTACTCTGGACCCTGTCTTTGGAAAGTAAGTTTTGGTTCCATCTGGAGTCCATGAGATTTTTTACTGTCATATTGAGGCAACAGGGCTGGGCCAGGCAAAGCTTCCCATTCCGACCTACATTCAAGATCAGGCTTGAGTGACCTGATCTAGTTGAAGATGTCACTGCTTGTTGCAGAGGGGTTGGACTAGACGACCTTTAAAGTCCCTTCCAGCCCAAACTGTTTTATGATTCCCTTGGCGTGCTCTCGGCTCCTGTCCAGCCTTGCTGAAGTGAGCCTGGCTTTGGCTCAACCACCGTCCTACCCACCGTGGCTCATGTTCTTCTCCATGGGTCTTTTGAGCTGTGGCGCATGGACTGGGTCTGCTCTGTCACCAACGGGGGTGTCGGGAGGGTTGTTTAGACCTGAGATTCCCCCGTGGAGGTACCTGCCTGATCCCACTGATGGTAGAGAGAGTCTGGGGAAACTCTGCTCCTCATTTAGGCGTTTTGGTTAAATGTCTGAAGAAACGACATGATGAATGGAGACCTGTTTGGTTAGGCTGTGGCATCGGATAACTCAAAATGAGATGCTCTGAAAAAGAATGATCTATAAACATGATACGGACTGGTTGAGTTGTTTGCCTCACAAACTCGAGGTAAAAGGTAAAAGATAATGTTGTTTTCAGATAAGGGTGTTTGTCAGAGCTGGATAGCACCGTAGGGACCAGGCAAAGCGGAGGGAGGCAGAGGAAAACCTGGTGCTTAGCCTCCACGTGTTTGGTAGGACTTTGGTCTCCCAGAAGAGCTGGGATTAGACATAGGGGGTTGTGCTTCAGCACAAACAGGGGTCAAGCTCTACTCCACACGGCGTCCAGCTGGTTTTCTTTGACGGCTCTTGCCAGCTCAGGATGTCAATGCCGTGACACCTTCCCAACAAAGCAAGATGGAGGAGGAGGTACACCATCAGCAAGGATGGAGGGAAAGGGAGAGGGATGGAGAGGGTGACACTGGTGACATCTCTGGTGTGCGTTACACCAGGCCTTTACTCCTCTTCTGCCAAATGGAGATGGCAGCTCTGCCCTTCCTGCAGTGAATGCCAAGTGGCTGCTCCCCATCTAGCACGAGGGAGCCCTGGTCTCCGGTGGGCCAGGACCTACTGCCCTGCCGCAGAGCCCACGGCCAGACCCGGGTGAGCTCTGCTAGGCTGAGCAAGTCCTCCTTGGCCAAGCCTGGCTCCCGGCCAGAGGCCGTCTAGACAGCGTGCTGCACCTCCCACCTGGTCTTTAAAGCGAGATGTAAAACCGAGGTCCTGGCTGCTGGCGGCTGTTAAACCTCCCGTTTCACGAGCTTTTCCCTGGGCGGCTGGCTGCCGTCCAGCTTTAGCTAATTACTTTCTGCTGACCCCAGTTCCTCCTGCACTCTTAATTGGTGGCATAATCACTCACTTCCCCTCCTTAAAAGCTGCTGCGGGGTGGATGCTGGCGGTGGGAATGGGCACCGTGTTTCTCCCCAGCATTGCCTGCCTTTCAGCAGCAGGTGGAGGGGTTCCTGGGAGGGCTGGGTCGCACCTGGACCGTCCTGCTCACCCAGTTGTACCACCTTCCACGTCGCCAACGTCCGTGAACACCAGCTATGATGGCTTTAACGCTGGATCGGGGTGTTGTTGTGTTTTGACAGGGTCATGGTGCTTTGTCTCTTCCTATCCTTTATTTGAGGAGGGAGAGGAAGGTTTGCTCTTGCTTTATTTGATGCCGGTATGTGGACGGTGATGTAATGATGGTGGAGGAGGCAGCACAGAATAAAGGTGCTTAGGACCGGGAGCAGAGGACAAGGAGGTTTTGAGGGTCAGTCTCTGACCACAGGCTTGGCCCAGGCAGGCTTGACTCCTGTTTTGACATCTGCTCTTTGGGCTCAAAGAGCAGATGGTTTTCCAAAGCTGTCATTTCTTCCCCATTCAAATTCCATGGTAATGATTATTCCTGACTCTCATCTGCTGCTCTTTCTGCCTGAATATTGCAGTGACCACTGTCATGTCCAATTAGCAGATGGAGAAACTAAGCAGGGGCAAAGTTTGCTTGAGGATAATTCAACCAGGCAAAAATAAAACGGAGGCATGCTTGCTTAGCTGCACATCCACAAGCTAAGCCAGTTCAACACAGCACTGGTAGTACTGGACCAATGTGACAAAGATGTGCACTGTCCTTCCTGGCACTGGTGGGCTGGCTTGGTGTGGGGGTCCACTTCCCATGGGGTCCTCAGCAGCATGAACCTCCATCTCATGGGTATTTCTTGGCTCCCGTTGCGCAGGATGTTTGAGCTGAGCTGCACTCTGCCCCTGGAGAAGGACTTGAAGATCACGCTCTACGACTACGACCTCCTGTCGAAGGATGAGAAGATTGGGGAGACTGTCATAGACCTGGAGAACCGGTTCCTCTCAAAATACGGGGCACGCTGTGGCCTCCCCCAAACCTACTGCGTGTAGGTACCTCTGCGGGCTCGGGCAGTGGGTCTCTGTAGCTGCCAGGTCTGTGTGTGTCTGAGCTGGCCGTGGGGACCCAGGGCGATGTCTCAGCCCTGGGGTCTGCTGTCCCAGCGTGGTCCCGGGAGGACCTGACCAGTGCTGCACCTCAGAGATATGTCTTCAGACAAGTTCATAACAGAGAAGCCCCACATTTGAGGAACTTCCCTGAGCCCTGGCTCTCCTCCAGAAGAAATAAATGCTTCAAATAATGTAAATGTCCTTGGGGAGATCCTGTTACATCCCTGACACCTCTTGGGCACACTGTGATGAGGACACCCCCCATGCACAGGGCCAGCTGAAAGCTGAGGTGGTGGTCTGGGGGGGCTGTCAGGCCACCCCAGCCCTGCAAGCTGGGGCTGAGCAGGCTGTGGGACATGCAGCCCAGTTCACCAGTGAACACAGACTCAGAGCAAGCTGCACCTTCCTCAGACCAGCCCTTTTTGGTGTAACGCTGCTGACCCTTGTTGAGGCTGGAAGATGTTTTATCACGTGTCGAGCTGCTGTTTTCCCTCCTGTGTGGTTTCAGCTCTGGACCCAACCAGTGGCGAGACCAACTCCGTCCTTCCCAGCTGCTTCACCTCTTCTCCCTTCAGCACAACTACAAGGCTCCCACCTACAAGTCCGACCGGGTCATCTTCAGGGAGCAAGAGTACATCCTCTCTGAACTGGGTAAGGTAATGGGGCTGCTTCGGGGTTGCAAATTATTGAGGGCAAGGGATGGAGTTGGAGGTCATGAACATATCACAGTTGGGGGTTATCATGGAGGCCAGGACTGGGTGATGGGCACGTCCCCGCCCTCCTCACCTTGCTGTCCAGGTTGGGTCTGCACCTTTCCCAAGCTTGGCTCTGCCCCAAAGGCTGCAGGTTGCACTTGGATCTGGGTTGAACCCAGACCTGCCACCCAACCATGTTAACTTTGCCCTGGAGCGACTGCCCTTTGCTGCTCGCAGCAAACCCGAAACACGCAGGCTGGGAGCAGAGAGGCTCCAGCCTGACCCGCCAGCTGCTGCTTGGGCTGTAGGAGCAGTTGTGCCGTTTGCATCTCTGCATTTTGGGGCTGGAGGCACTAGAGGGAGACAATATCATACACACGGTGCCCAGCGTGTCGCACCATGGCTCACGCCTCGGCGGGAGAGGTGTGCTCCAGCTGGAAGTGCAAAATCAGCCTCTGCCAGCAAGGAGAACATATCACCGAGTGTTGGAGAGGCATTTTCTCGTTTGCACAAAAAACCCCACCAGTACTGATGCCTGCAATATCCTGGGCATCAACTCGTGCCCGTCTGACTGGCATCCTTGGGGAAGGAAGTTTGCCTTTTAGAGAAAACTCGGCTTTAAAGCATGGAAGGGATGTTTTGGCCCAGGGAGGAGGTGGAACCCCACTGTACATGGCCCAGGAGCTGCAGTTTGACTTTGTTGCAGAGCCATCAAGGAGGACTTGGCCTGCAGAGGCACGAGACAAGGTGCAGCCCGGGACTGATGCCTCTCCCTGCTTTTGGGAATCAAGGCACAAATTCATGGTTTTCCCCTTAGGAGGAGGAGGAGGAGTGGGGCAGCAACGGCTCCTTTGTAGCCTCTTGTTATGCGAAAGGTTTTCAGCAAGGGCTGGAAAGGTGTTAAACCGAGCGGGGTCTTCCCCCCTCTCCCAGCCCCTGCCTTTCACCTTCCTCTGCTTTAATGGCAATCAGTTCAAAAAACAGAACAAAGTCTGATGCTTGACCTCGAGGAGATCTGGAAACCAGCTGTGTTCGCAGAGCAATGTCAGATCTGAACCTGGCGGTATAAAGTGAAGCTATTAAACACGAGAGCATGGGTTTTACAAGCACTGCACCCAGACCATTATTCCATAACCCCCACATTTGTTGTTTTCTGAGAAGGGCTTTTTCTTTTTCCTGTGCATACACACACACACACAGACACACACACGCCAGGTTTCCACTGCCTGGGAAATAGCCCATATGTCTGAAGTTAACCACTTCAAGATATTGCCAAGAAAGGAGCTGGGATATATCACCTGAAAGTTGCAGAGCTGTAATAATATTTATGGAGCGCATTTCATTTCAAAGGTCCTCGAAGGTGCATGGCCTTGAAACGCTGTGGCTGGAAGGCAGCGTCTCGGGGGTGATGTCCTCCACCAGCCCCAGCATGGCATGTGGGATGGGGAGGCAGGAGCAGGCTCAGCCAAGGCCAAGCTGGCCATCCGCCGAACCTGCATGGATGTAACAGGGAATTCTTTGGCGGAGAAGACAAAAATGCCCATTACTGATAGGCCCTGTCTGACCTATTTGCAGAGGGATTTGGGCCTGGGGTGGAGCGGGTGAGGAGGCGGAGGTGGCTCATGGATGGCTCGGTGTTCGCTGTGGCTGCCGTGCGCTGGCCTGTTTTGGTGAAAGACCACGAACACCCCGGTGGGAGCAGTGAGAACCAGAGCAGGGACTAGGACCAGCCATCGAGCGGTGCTGGTGGTGCCTGCGTGGCCCTCCTTTCCCTTTCATTTCTGTCTTTCTGACTGTGAACCCAGCAGAGAAGAAGCAGGGTGCTGCAGGGAGCCCGTTCCCGCTGCACTCCTCTCTGCCCAGCTGAGGATCCCGGATGGTTTTAAATGATGGGATTGAAACAATGCCCATCACATGAGTGCTTGCAAACTGCACCAGAGCAGAGCCTTTCATCTCCTCTCCCTGAAGAGCCGTGATCACACGTTAGATAAACGTCTGCTGGGGGTGGGAGCGGCAGCAGAGCAGCATCATGGGCTGGAGGGCTGCTGGGAACCCTGCAGCCCCAACTGCTGTGATTTGAGGGGCCCCGAGCCCTTGAGCAGGATCAAAGGCTGGAGTCTCCTTTCCACATGCTTCAACTTGGTCCTTGCAACGTTTCGCTTGCTGTGCTTCGCGGGGGGAGTTGCATGAGAGTCCCCGCGGGTCCCTGTCCCATCGTGCGGTGGTTTGCCCACGTGTTCCGCTGCGAATGGGCTGCCCAGGAGGGTGGGTGACGATGATGGATTCGAAACAGAGGCTGTCCTGCTGCTCTGGGCTCCAGCGAGGCTGGTGGGCTCGTGCTTGCTCCCATGGCGGGGTCAGAATCCGGCCCCGCAGAGCCACGGCACAGCGTAACGCTGCTTTTTTTTGTCTGCTCCGTGGCAGAGGATGGCAAACCCCTCAACCCCCATCTGGGGCCGGCGGAGGAGCGTCTTGCCCTGTATGCCCTGCGGAAGCAAGGGCTGGTGCCGGAGCACGTGGAGACAAGACGTCTTTACAGCCCTCTCCAGCCAGAAATCGAGCAGGTGGGTGGCGTGACGTGTCCAGGACGAGACCAAGAACATCATCTCCTTTCGACCCAATGCAAACCAGGCGGCTGGCTCGCTGCAGAGCCGCGCTGGGGGTATCCTGCCCCAGGAGGTGGGTTTTTCCCAGGGAGGGGAGTCAGCTTGTGGGACAGAGCAGAGACCTGGCTAGTAAACGCGGGCTGGAGCTCAGCGTGCTCGGGGAGATCGATTGCAGCCTCCCGTGTCCATTTTCATCAGCATTTGCCCACAGTTTTATTTTAATATTTTTTTTCTGTGTGTGTGGGAGTGCCATTTCTGATCTGAAAGTCTTGATGCAGAATTCTTCTATGAGGGTAATGACACCGCAGGCTCCTTTAGCAATGCAGCAGCGTGATTTCTGCAGCGTGAACCTGCCCTTGGAGGTGTGAAGTGTTCGTACTGCTGCAGACTGAATGCTTTTAAGCCAAAGAAAAACTAAACGGGCTTCCATCCAAAACCAGTCAAATTCCAGGTATCTGTACTTAGCCTAACCCCTTTTCTTTGATTAACATGTACTTTATGCATTTGGATCAAAAAATGCTGCTTCCTGAAGAACAAAATGATTAGTTATCATCTGCCATACAGGTTCCCGTTGTGGTGCAAAGGCAGTTTCAAGAGACCGGCTCCGCAGCTGGTGTGAACGTGCGCAGCCACTGGTCTGCACCGTTTCAGCCATTTCCCTTCTGTGGTTCCTTTTTAACCAGACCACCTCTCCAGTGGTGGGTGAGGAGAGCTGTCGGCAGAAGCAGATGTGCTGGCAGCTACTCTAGCACCTTTTCATGTTAATTCACCCAAGGAAAACGGCGATTAGAGGCAGGAGGTGGCTGCTATCGGTTGACAAGTGGGTCTGTGCTGTTCTTACAGGTGTCGTGGTCTTGTTGGCCCAGCCGTGGAGACTAGGAAGGTGCTTCCTCTGTGATGTGGGGCTGCATTTAGGCAGAGCAATCAGAGTCTGCCCTGCACCGATGCTCCGAACCAAGAGTGTCCGTGGGGGTGATGCTGGGTCCAGGAGATTAACCTGTGTGACTCGGCACACGTTGCATTCAGGGCAGGTCCCCAAAGCATGGCGCCAACCTGCTGCAAAGCCACAGAACAGGCTGGCTCTGTCGGGCTGTTTGTAGTAGAGCTAAAATCTTTTAAGTTTTTTAAAGTTTTCTGCTGAAATGGAAGATTTTCTTGCCAAAGAGCAAGCAAATGACAAACGCCTTCATGACGGGCTGATTGTCAAAGGATGGCTTTTTTTTTTTTTTTTTGCTTTCAACCCTTGAGACAGCACAATAAAATATTCTATTGGCACCCATCGGTGTTTTATAGTAAAAGAGACCACCTGAAAACACCCCCCCTCAAGATTTCAGCTGCCTTTCTGCTGCTGTCTCCCTGGAAGGATTTTGTGGAAGCGGAATTAGATTCCCCTCTTGTCACCCCATCCTCCACTCCCATGGTCAGAAACCCGTAAACCAGCTGTCCAGCTGGTGACAAGTGGTGACACCATGGAAAACAAGTGAGCTGCTTGCTTCTCCAACACCTCCCGTGGGCCTGGTCTTTAGTCTGTACCTATGGAAAGGTAGTCAGCCATGGAGAGTAAAGCCAGAGTGCACCTTCAGCTTACCCAAAACACCCAGTTATGCATTGCAAGCCATTAACTTACACCCAGCTGTAACTAAAATAATTTTAATATAATGCTTAATGACACTTTTCCGTTAAGGAATCCTTAGTTTTCAACTAAAGAACACTGAGGCAGCTGATATTTTCTCTCTCCACTACTAGGTCTTACCGAGGAGGTGAAGGTAACCCAGTTAGGAGGCTCACCAGGCTTTATGTGCTTTTCTTTCCATTCAGGGAAAACTACAGATGTGGGTGGACTTATTTCCGAAATCTCTGGGTCAGCCTGGCCCCCCTTTCAATGTCGCGCCACGCAAGGCCAAGAGGTAACTTGCTCGTCATTTCTTACTCAGTGTGATGCTGGTTCTACCCTCCTGTCTGCGAGGGGAGAGGGGAGGGCTTGGAGTTGTCAGGTGGGGAGGGATTCACCTGCCCAGCTGAGAAACGTCTCTGTGGGCACATCTTCAGAGGGAGATGTCTCACGCCTTAGCTCCTTCAGCTGAATACCTGAGTAGAACACACAGGCTGTCTAGGTGGGCTCTGGACCAAGATTTCCACCCTCTCATGTTGCTTTTGTGCCCGGGGCTGTCCAGGTTCTTCTTGCGCTGCATCATCTGGAACACCAAGGATGTCATCCTCGATGACCTCAGCATCACCGGGGAGAAGATGAGTGACATCTACGTCAGAGGGTAAGCCACCCCGCTTCTGTGTCCTCCGGGTACCGTAGCCTGAAGGCGCAAGAGCAGCAGTGAAGGAGTTAATGTGGCCCTTGCATCAACATTGCTGTGGTAGACACGAACCCCCACTGGGATGAAGGGGCCGCTCACACCTCTCACGCTATGGATCCAGCTCCTTGGCAGACACGTCTCTGCTGGGCTCATAACTGCTTCATGATGTCAGGTTTTTCCTTGCATCTCTTGGATGCTTACGCGGCAGAATTTACATTTCTAGAGATAAGATGGGGGGAAGCAGCCTAGCCGTTGGAGAGAGGGGCACGTAGCCTGCATTTCCACTGCCGTCTCCTTCCCAGCTCCTCTCCCGGGACAGCCATGGGCTTGTTCCATATACATAGACCGGCTTGTTTGCATAGCTGCTTTTTTTGGAATTCCCTTTTTTTCCTTGAAACACACAAAAATGTGGCAACCAGCAGTAACTCCTCTGGCACATTCCCTTCTCTGCCTGACTCCATTTATGTTTTATCTGGTGTAAAATGGTGCAATCCCAGCCAAGGGACTTACTTATTTTGTGCGTTCTGTGGATTTATGGACAGGAAGAGGTAGGATTTTGAAACAGACTGTAAATCCCTTTTTTACAATCCCAATTTTCCTCCTGTAAATCCAGAATGCACGCTGCTTACCTGGTATTCACATCAAGTGCATTGTTATCAGCTCCAGCTAAGCTGCTCTGTGCACTTTGGGGCTCTGCAATAGTAGTGCTCGCAGGGTGTTACCGGGAAAGCGAGAGCATCCAGCGCTTGCTGATATCCCTCGCCTGGCTTTTAGCATCCCCAATGACCAAGCAAATCCTGCAGTGCTGTAAATGAGTTAAAAATCTTCCTCAGCTTCCTCGTCTTTCCCCGCCAAATGGCTGCATCACTAGCATCTCTGGGCAGGGCCTGAATAATCCCATTGGGAGGGGGGGCAATGGTCCTTCTCGTGCTTAAGCAGCTGCCCTACAGACAGGGGATCCTGTGGGCAAAGTGACCTTCACCACCACGGCGTGGTGCCGCTTTGGTGGGGTCTGCTCCTTCCATCCACCGCTGCCTCCTGAGCAGGGGCTGGAGCCTACTTTAGGGTGAACTGAATGGATAAGGAGCTTTTACCTGTGGCTTTTCTTCAGCAGATCTCACAGGGCTTCTCTGAGGAGGCTGTTGACAGCTTATTCTCCATTTGACCCATTAGGCAAGGCCAGGGCTGGAATATCAGTCTCTTGGACATTATCTTCTACATAATAAGTAAATTATTGCGAGTCAGCCAGGCAGGTAAATGGAACAGGAGCTTTTCTATTATGCCTGAGGCAGCTGCTGTTTATTTTATTTAATTTAATTAGTTATTTATTGATAGTCTTACAACAGAATGAAGAGGTCTCAACCAAGTTTAGGTGGTACAAGGCTGAGTGCAGAGAGACCTTCGCTTCCTAAAGACTTGTGCTGTGGGCAGACAAAAGAGTGGTAGGGTAGGGAAATCGTATTCATTAGGAACTGAAGATGGGTTTTTTTTGAGTTAACAGCCCTCTCTGTCACTGTTGTAGATGGAGGATATTTTTGTATTGTTTTCATAGTGAAATTTCCAATAAAAAGTTTTACCTCACCAGAAGGATGGACCAACACTGAACCAGATTACATGGGAGGTGGGAGGTTTTCACTCATCATCTTGCAAGTTTTTCAAGATATTTCAAGGTAAAACCGTACTGCTTTGAACCAATTGGACTAGAAGGTTCCAGAGTCCCCTTCCAACCAAGCACCACTACTAAGATTTACGTGCTAGTATGTGGTATCTTTAAAACTCATCCTCATCTCCTTTGGGGTTCCTAAATAACAGGATGGCCTGGGTCCTCCAAAATCTTACAGTTGTGCTGAGCAACTGAGGAGGTGTGTGAGTTTGGAGAACACAGTCACCTCTTAGATTTGTGCACCTAACGTTGCCTTTGGATATTGCAGATACTTTAAGCCACATGAATTTGAAAAATAGCAGATGAACTAATGAGATAAAAATCCATCCAGTCCTGCTGAGTACAAAAGCATTGTCTACAGATCAGGAAATCTCTGACCTGCCAATTGTTGGAGGCTGGAGAGGTGTGTTGGGAGGGTATCCGGATGTGTTTGCCCCAGTCTCATACTCTTACCTGGACATCTGCTGTTGGCCCTGGTCAGAGGCAGGATCCTGGGCAGGATGGGCGTTTGGTTGGTCACCCCGGCCATTCCTACATTATGTTTTTAATTCTGGGGCACCGTGACTGGAAAGCCTTTGGTTTCTGGCATCTTCTCCTTGCAGCGGGGAGGGTGCAGCAAAACTGCCAGAAAGAAAAAAACCACGTGCCAAAGAGGCATCCAAATCAAACCGTTTATTTGTCTTTTTGTTTGCCTGCAAGGAGAGGGCGCTCACACTGCATCCTCCGAGGGTCCCTGCCAAGCTTTGAAGGACGTGGATAAACACACAGGCTTGCCATTTGCGTCCTATCAGATCAAATCCAATAATCCAACCGCAATTTAAGTATTAGTGTAACCTCATCACACAATTCCCACTGCCACCGAGCCCCCGCTGCCCGTGTAACACATGTGCATGTGATGTGTACCGTAGGATGAACTCGAGTAGACCTCCCTTCCCTGTCTCCCACAGCACATTTGGGGTGGGCTATGTGCTCCGCTCAGGCACTGGAGAAGAGGGAATCATTTGTATAGTTAGGCAAAAAACTCCTTGTTTTTAATTTAAGTGGAAAACAATCAGGCGAGATAATTGTTTTCATTAGAGATTCCCTCTGAATCTGCTGGCTTTCCTCCAGATGGGCTCTAAATACACAAATGGATGTGTTTTATTGTTTTGTTTTGTTTCATTGATTGCTGAAGACTGAAAAATCTTGGACAGGGAAAGGGGGCAGAATGAAAACCCGACAGTTGCAAAACTCACAGCTGGAAAAAAAGTAGTTGTTGTGGAAAGTTTTCAGTTTGCCCCCGGCCTGGTTGCGGAGTGACCACAGCAAGCTCTTCTAGACCAGGAGGGGAACTGTGCTGTGAGGACCTGTCTCCAAGGGGAGCAGCTGGGGACCACCCTGGCCACCTCAGAATTTGGCCACTCTGGGATTTTCCTGAGGGAGAAATTATTGGCCATTTAGGACTTCCAAATAATAATCTTTGAGAAACTGAGAGAGAATAGAGGGAAAAAATCAGCCCTTTTGTCCTTTAACGTGGTTGCCTCATCAACAGGACTGGCTTTAGGGGCTAACTGCAAGGTCAGTTTGTTGGGGTGGCTGCAAAGGGGAAAGGAGCCCTCACAAAGGCAGGTTAGAAGCTGGTGTGTGCTTATGGATGGGTCAGTGACAAATTTGAGCCAGAGCTTAAGGCCACGTTGAGTCTTTAAAACACCCATAAAACTCAGAGGAGGGAGGAAAAGAGATTATGGAGCTTCTCAGGCTGCTGCCACCAGCCCTGGTTCGTCTGCAGGGACTGTTACATTCCCTCTCAAGCCTCCTACGGGCTCCAGGTTACCCCTACAGACAGCAGCCCAAGGCATCCACAGGGACAAGAGATATTTTACTGCCTGCTCGTGGCCTCTGTGACGTTGAGTGAACTCCAAAATCCTTGGTGTGTTTCTAGTTTTTCATGCAACGTGTTTGCATTTTGCAGCTGGATGGTTGGCCACGAGGAGAAGAAGCAGAAGACAGATGTGCACTACAGGTCTATGGGAGGTGAGGGCAACTTCAACTGGAGATTCGTCTTCCCCTTTGACTATCTCCCTGCTGAGCAGATGTGTTACATTGCGAAAAAGGTGGGTGCCCCTGGACAGACCTTTCTACTTTCTCGTAGTGACTCTGGGGTGAAATGCGATGCATGATCTAAGACCTGCACAACTGCAGCACAAATGCAGCTATGCAAGGCTCAGCCTTACCTTTGTGTGGTTTGAAACACAAAGTTGTGGGCAGGTGGGGAAATCGGTTTAAAAAAAAATCCACATTTTGAATACAGCGCTTGCGGGGTCAGAATTAGAGGTGGCTTTGTATAAAGAGTCTGGAGAGAGTGACCTTCCCACTGAAGGCAGCTGGATGTCGGCGCAGCGGTGTCCAAGTACTGTACCCCTGGTTGCACGGGGCTTCCAAGACACCTGCTCAAGAACATGGTCACTCCAAGGATGGAGATGGCGTTTCCATGGGGGTGGTTAGCTGTGCACCTCTGCTCTCCAGCACGGCACAACGTGCTGTACAATAACTCCACAGAGGGGCTAAAGGGAGATGAAAGGAAGGAGCTGTCTCCAAGTGCCTGAAGGGGAAAGCAGGAGGGACGTGTGAGGGAGCAGGGGTTGGGATGTACCGTTGGTGCAGCGATGGGAAGAAAAGCTTTGGTTTGGGATTCGGGGTGAAGATGCCTTTGGTCTAACAAGAGAGCTGTGTCCTCGATTGGGGAGTTAAAAGTGGATGTGACTTTGTCCCCCTCATTCCTACTCCTGTGTTTAGATATTGCTTCTGGTGTTCCTTGGTCAGGTTAGTGCAAGACGATGACCAGATGTGGACTGGGAGTTGCACAGAGGGAAGGAAACAGGGATGGAGTTGGGGTGTGTAGAAGGAAAAACGCTGGTGAAAGTTGCTTTAGGGGAGGGAGATCTGTTCACTCAAATTTCCTGCTCATCACCTGGAGGTTAAGAGGAGTGTTGTCGAGTCTGTGTGTCTGTGTGGACAGCAGGGACAACCCCTGCTTTCGGGACTCGGTCCTGTTTTGTGACGCCTCCCTGAAAGCTCAAACCCCTTCAGCCACCCAACCCCGAGTCCTTGTCCCTGCTCCCTGCCTCACTGCCGTCAGCTCAGCCTTGGCGTTCTGGTGATTACAAAGACACCTCGTTGTTGTGGGACCGTCTGCATCCACACAGCTCGCCTGGGCCCCCCATCCCAGCTTGTTTTGTGGGGCCAGCAAGGTGCCAGCACAGCCTGGGTTGGAACTGGCACTTCAGTGGGGAAGATGCTGAGCGAATTCCCCGTCCCTCGAGCCAGACGATCCCCGTGAGGAGGCCAAGCTTCAAAATGAATCGCCGGACAGTTAAACTGATTGACAGAATCATAGCTGTACCCATTTCACGCTTCATGTTAAACAAATCAAAAGTACAGTGTGTACTACATTCAATTATCCCCCTTTGAAAAAGCAAAGACCCCCCTATAAACCGTTTAAGAAAATACATCCCACTGTGCTGATATTGATTCTCCTCCGACCACATGTCTGCCAACACTGTATCAGAAAATAAACAGCTTGTAAAACCTCTCTGTAAAGGAAAAAATAATGAATGAAAAGCCATGCTTTGTATTTGTGGGACACATTCCGCTCTGGCAATTTTTGATCTCGCCATGTGCTGTTTGAACTCCAGGTTCATTACTGCTGCTGTAAAAGCCCATGCACCGAACTTTAAACGCAGGCGATGGAAAGTGGAATTTAAATCAAAACGGTCAGATGGCAAATTCGGAGCTGCTAAAAGCCACCTGCGCCCAGCCTTGCTGGTGTTGGCCCTCGGAGAGAGCACTGCTGGGAGAAAAGCAGCTTTCAATTTGCTCCCCTTTGTTTGCTCCACTTGCCTCCTCGCAGACAGGAGCTCCCTTTGGCAACGCAGGAACGGGTCACCCCAACCCAGATTGCAAAGCTTCTCCCCAAAAAAGCAACGTTGCCCTGGGCAGCGGAGTCTCCACGATGTTTGGTTTTGGTGTGCGTGTCTCGGGGGAGCTGGGAGCCTGCAAACCTGGGGAAAACCCAGGTGCCACATGGTGGAACTGGACCCTGAAGCCTTGGGATGGCCAGCAGTAGCCAGAATTGTTTAATCCTTGCCACAGCACTGGAAGTTTTGGGAACTTCATCTTCAAATCTTCAAAGTACTGGGATTTCTTGGCATTTCAAGGCTTCAATCTTCCCATGGGGCACCTCAAGGGAAAGCAGGAGCTTTCCTGTGAGCATCAATTCAACTTATAGATTAAAAGTGTAGGCTCTTATTCCTGCTTTTCTAAACATTTTAACCTTTTCAGAATGTTTTTCCATCCGTATCTTCTCTTGCTGCAGTGATGTTATAAAGATTTTGCTTCTCCTTCTGAGAAAGGAATTGTCTCCATTCTGAATTTAAAAAAAAATCCCCATGAAAGAGGGATTCCATCTTTGGGACAGCTCTTCTGAAAATATGTAAAGGCACGTTTCTTTAACATCCCCTCTCAGCATTTATTCCGAATTTCCTTCTTCTGTCCTCACTTCTTTTTGTACTGCCTTTCTCTCACGAGTAAGTCAAGCCATGTTGTTGGCATGGCCACAGCACCTTGCCGAGTCCTGCAGGAAGGCGGTTCCTTAGCCTGAAAATCATGCCGTCATTTTGGTGAAAGGGTCAACGCACGTTGCGTGTTGGAGCGCTGCTATTTCCCAGGGGAGATAGGGTAGAGAGGTAGGGTCAGCAGCCCTGGCTTGTTTGCGTGAAATCGCATATTGGCTTAAGTAGGGGAGGAACAGGCAGGTCCAGGTCCCAGATGAGTACGATGCTCTGCTGCCAACCAGCAGAGAGAAGAGCAGACGTCTGCAGGGTTTAAACTTTAGATCTCCAGATCTAAGCCTGGCAGGTCTTGACTCTTGCAGACAATGTTATCAGATGGTCACGGTAGAGCCATCGAGAGCAATGCCGAGATAGGCTGGATGTGGATCACGTTTCTCTGGGCACCCCGTCAGAGAGGCGCTCCGCTCCCGCGTCTCGCAGGCGCTGCGGAGGTGGAAAATGCATGAAATTGATTTTGGAATGTTCAGCTTCGAGTGCCAATTACAGCAGTAGCTGAATACAGCTGCCAAATCCGAATTCTAGATGTCCTCTAGGGCAGAAAAGGCTTGACACTGAATGTCTGAGCGAATGTCGTCTGCGTAAATGAACGTTCAGGGTAGAATTTCAAGAGCGTCTCAGTACACAAGTTAAAAACTGTTGGTGCTTGAGTGGACCTGGAAATAAACCACTAGGCTGGAGCTTCCAAGACCTGGCTGGGTTGCTCATATACCATCTGAAAATTGTTGCATAAAAGATATTCCAGGAGATGAGCATACTGAGTATGGGAGCATTGCTGGCAACTTCAAATCCGTGTTGTGCCATGTCGTTGGACCAGACCAGGGAACATAGCTGTTGTCTTCATACTTGTTCTGCTACCAGACTTCAGTGTTACGTGTCAACAAGAAAACGAAGTATTGATGCCAGATCATGAAATATTGTTTTTTGCAAAGAGAAGGAGAGCCATTGGAAGAGGACCCATCCCACTATTGTAGAAGGAACTGCAACCAACTGTCTTGGGGCAGTTGTGGTGAGGCCCTTTTTCGAGGAGCTCTTGAATTCATTTTTACACTCCACTTTGTGTTCTCAGCTGAAGGGGCCCATCCAAGTTTTAAGCAGATTAATTGCAACCTACCTGGCCACGAAAACGCTTTGGGTTGGAGGCCTTTGAACATCTGGCATCTGGCAGTGAAGGGTGCATGCTGCTCGCACGGCTAGAAGTAGGTGGTCCTACAGGATAATCCCAGGAATAACCCTGTGGCTGTGAGATACTGGGGATGCTTGTACATGTCTTTGAATAATTGAGACCCTGGCTCTGCAAGGTACAGCTGAAGTCTCCAAGTTTGCTGTCCCTGGCATTGAGTGTAACAACAAACCTGACATTTGGAAAGGTTTTTTCTATAGCTGATCAGCTGTTGGCATCCCAGAAATCACACTAGCGGTACACCTTGAGGAGCAGTATGAGAAAGAGGGAGGTCTGGGGTCCTAAACCCACCTAGAGAGGAAAGTGAAAAGGCATTTGAGGGAAAAGCAGGGAAGGAGGGGCTGTAACTCACAGCTTGTTTTGTTCTGTTGCTGAGGGGAGCTGAGAATAAATTCCTCCCTCCCTGGCATTGAGGCTTTCCCAGCTCCACCTGGTTTCATCGTTTCTGGTTTCTTTGTCTGCCAATTCATTACAGTGTCCCGACATCTTCTGGGTACTGATGTGATGTCTTGTAGCACGATGCTGTACATCACCTGAGAGCTCACGGGCAGCGTGTGCTCAGTGTAGTTGTCAGACAGGGCGAGAGTTTACCCTGGAGGTAAGTGTGTGGCCTCTCTGATGTTTAAAAGTTGTAAAAAAAATATGGTGTTTAATAGTTATAAAAAAACCCAGCCAGGCAAGTGAGGTTTCTGCATCTGGGTCCCAGTGTCATCCCCTTGTTCTGTTACGGTCGTTGCTGCATGTTCAGGATGTACGAAGGAATCTCCGAGCTCTGGCTGATTGTAGTTTGGACTTTTGGTTATCAAGCACTGATTCTTGTTAAAAACCGTGAATATTTTATTAGACTGAACTTCTAATTCCTCTTTGGTGCCAGAAAGCTAAGGAAAAAAAAGCAGTTGCCTTTTCATTTTGGACCTTTCCCCTCCTGTTTCCTGTCCTTTATCGTGTCCTTCTCTGTTTTTCTTGGTGACATCAGAAAGGAAAGCAAAACACAAAACATTACTTTTCCTTCCACATTTAGCCAATATGCAACATTTTGAACGGGGTCCAAGTACATTTTTTTTTTTTCAGAGGAAGGCAGAGTTTGGCAAGGCAGTCATATATTATGTATTTTGATGGGACTGCAGATACAGCGACACAACAGTCTTCTGTGACAGGACAGGGGCAGCAGCTGTGACCTGGGATGCACCAGCAGCCTCTGTGATATCCAGACAGGAGTTACTGCTGTGAAGTTTGCTTTCCAATGGTTGTATGGAGAGGGTGGAGCAAAGCATGGCTGCGTCGAGAACTGAGGGTCCAACAGCGCAATTCACAAACTGGCCAGGACTGGGAACCCAAGGCTTGGAGCTCCCTAAAGGGCAGCCTGGGAAAGCCCCATAAATGCTGCCAGAAGGAAAGCATGGGAGGCTGAGAAAACAGATTGCAGGGCCCGAAAGGAGAGTATGTGCCCCAAGGCAAATATTGTGACTGTTTCACACTTATGGTGACGCCTGGAGTCTTGCTCCAGGTGCTGGCAGGGCTGTGCCCGAACGCGCGGCAGATGCTCTACGCTCGGGATTTTGCTCAGCTGCCATCCCGATCAGGGGACGACGCGGAACATCAAGTGCCACGAGACCTGCGATGCGATTGTCGGAGCTGGTGACAGCGGGGAGATCAAAGTGGTGGGTTAGTCCAGTAAAAGGGCAATCGCGGGCCTTCCCAACTGCCCGCTCGTCACGAATGCGTGAAATGTCCCAATGCGATGAGGTTCGGAGGGGCGGTTTCTCAACGCCTTGAAGGACGGCCCCGCAGGAGAGCCTGCAGGGGAAGAGGCTCTTCTCGGCTGTCCTCCGAGGGGGTCTCCTGCGTGGCTGGGCCCTCCCAGTGGCTGCGGGATGAGGGGCCTGATGCTCTCCCACATGTACATGCTGAAACGGGACAGGCTTGCCTGGGCGCGAACACGCTGGGGCCTCCCCGCCTCCCCGAAAAAGCCAGGTTGCTCCTTACTTTGTGTTTCATAGCACATAAGCAACCCAGAAGAAATGCAGCCCTGTCAACACTTTCCCAGTGATATGAGCTTATTTTTTTTCCTGCGTCCCCTGCTGCATTATTCACGACCGTAAAATATTCACCAGCCTCCCCTCTCCCCTCCACACTGCAAAACAAACCCCCAAACAATAATTCAAGCCCCCTTCCTTCCCGTGTCTTGCGAAAGGCTAGGAAATAAATTTCTTGCCGTGGGTTGTTTTTATAGTGAACTTTCGTAGCTAGATGTAATCATGGAGGCAAATTTCACACTGCATTGAAATGGACCCATAAACTGAGCTCAGCATCAAATTCCTCCTTCCCCAGCCTGCCCTTCCCGCTCTGCTCTGCCGTGTCCCCAGCTTCACGGGGCTCCGAGGAGGAAAGCTTCGCCACCAGCCAAACCACATTTACAGCGTTTTTCCACCAGAAGGGCCAAAGCTGTACAGATCGTGCTGGCGTGGTACGAGCTCCGCGTTGCCACCCAGAGAGGGTCGAATCCTGCCTGAGTCATCCTTCATCAGGCAGGGAGTCCCCAGCAAGCCAGGGCGTTGCTATCGAGGGTAGAAGTGGTGCTGGGGAGGCACGGGGATGCAGCGAGCATCAGCTTGGCTGCTGTATGGGTTTTGTTCGCTTTGAGCGTGGACAAGTCCTTGCTCGTTGCAACGGGAAGGAGGGAAGGTGGAAAACCCAAAGTCCTGTATGTTTTCCAGCAATTGCGTGGTCAGTCCTGGGGGAGACATATCCAGTTGTGTTTTATTGTGTGGGAGAGGACCATAAGGCACCGCAGCACCTGCTGGCTCCGACCTGGATCCGAGGTGCTCTGCTCCTGTCCCGGGAGAGCTCAGCCAGCACCGCAGGTGGGGAAGGAGCCCACCAAGAGGAGGGGGATTGCTGCAGCAGCTCAGAGACTGGGGCAGCAATTTGGGTCCCACAACAGTCTGCTCCTTTTCCTGGTTCTTCCTCTTTCCCCATCATGAGATTGGGTCTTCCAGCAGGCAGTACCTCTCCCAGAGGCAGAGCTGCCATCACCCCACAGGCGTTTCAGGGGGGCTGCTCAGGTGCTAGGTTTTGCTCACATTCGACTTCGGGTGGATGGGGTGGTGCAAACAGAAGGTCCAACATGTGCTCGGAGAGGTGCTTCAACCCGGGCAGCAGCGTAGTGACGCCCTTGGAGCGTGGATGCATCTGACAAATGCAGATGTGGTGAAATCAGCCTCTGAGCCAGCGCCGTAAGTTATCACCGGGGTTGAAGAGGGGCCTGTAGGTCATATTGTGTCCTCTCCCAAGTCGAGCATAGCTGGGGGTGCCTGAATTTCCCCAGCAAGAGGCAACTGGAAGGAGCCTGTGGTGTCTTGCTGTGGTGCACACCATGGGAGATGGGTCTTCCTCCACCTTGCAGACACCAAATGAACCTTTCCAACCCACGAGGAGGCCATCTGGCCGCCTTCTTCTATAGGCATGGGTGCATGGTTCCTGGAGGCTTTCTCCTCTTGATGACTTAACAACCCTTCTGCAGTGCAGGACCCAACCAACATATGGGAAAGGGAAGAATCACCATAAGCGCTTTCCCTTTTTAGCAGTTTTAATTTAAAAAGACTTATTAGTTGGCAAAACACGTGTGTGTGTCCCCCCCTTTGGATAAACTTACATTTTGATACATTGCAACGAGCAGAGGGGGAGAGATGGAAGTTTCCGTTGACTTTATTCTATTTTTCTAGATTATAAAATATTTAAAATGCATAAATAAAATGCTCCATTGCAAAAATGCTGGTGTGTTTTTCCAAAGCAAGGCTGGGAATGGAGCTAAATTGAAATATAACCGTACAGGGTGATCCCTTAAAGTGAAACCAGTTTCAATGGGATTTAAGTGCCCGCAGCCTCCCTGCTTGAATATTTATGTTCTTATGGAGTGTGACACATTCTTTTTTCCCCCCCCTTTTTTTTTTAATATTGCACGATATAATGAATCAGAGTCTTGTAGCCACCGCAGTGAATTTATGGTGCTACGTAGGTGTCATGAATAATGCTGAAGTTTCCTGGTTTTAATTAAATCTGTTCCGTTTATGATACTGCCATGTTGCAAGAGTGCGGCAGGAGGCATTGCCCACAGGACACACCTCTGTGTGCTGACAGTAGGCACCGGCCGTGACTCTGCCTCCTCTTTGCGAGCCGTGGCTGGAGCCAGAAATAACAAGGCCTTGGCTTTTTGTGCGCCTCTGTCTCTCTCCTTCTGTCCTGATACTTCTTAGTCCTAACTCTCAAGCATCTTGTGGCATCCCAAAAGTGGTATTAGATCCCTGTTGGGAAATATTACTGGCTGCAACCACATAAATAGCAAATTCCGTGGCGTGGGCACATATCCACTGTGTATTATAGTGATGCGACCTCAAACTCATTGTCACAGTATTGGGATTCAAGCTCTCCTTGTCAGAGAAGCCTGATTTAAACGTTCCCCCTTGTCTGGCTTTTGGGGAGTGCTGGTCTGACTATCCAGAAGGCAGACCACCTGCCTTGCTGTTGACCTACCCACTGCACTAAGCAGGGCACTGCCGCTGCAAGCTTCTCATGGGCGAGTGTTTCGTAAGTCATCTCCTCTCCAGAGAGCGGAGATCCCTGCCTCAGCCTATTGCTGAGCTCCCACATGGATGCTGTCTCCCAGGCAGTGGCTATTCCTTATTACTGTGGCTGAGTTGCAGAACTGATGGATGATGCTCCTGCACTGCACAGGGGCTTGGTAAATGATGATAACCACAGAGGATGCTCACGGCGTAGTTTTCATTCCAGGTGCTTTGCAAACAGGCTACTGGGGCTGCTGCAAAACCTTTCCACAGGTTGTCAGAGCAGCTCTAGTGGCAGGGAATAGACAAAAAATTGCCCATCTAACAGAAATGAGAAGGGCATACAGACAGTGAGAGATTTCACGTTATAAGGACTGAGATTAGGTGTCACAGTGCCACTGCTCGATGGGTTGTACAGGGAGCCAGGCTCTGGTCATCATGACTCGCTGGTGCTCTGAATCTCTCCTTTCTTGAGCTTAGACATAGTAATAAACACAGCAAGCATGTATGCAGCTTGTGTAATTCTAGCAGCAGATTTACTGGGACACCATGTCCAGCTCTCACACTCACGTGTCCAGAGAATGAAAACCTGGAGGATGTGCAGAAAAAATGAACAAAGTCATTTGAGAACTGAGGAACCTGCCGCGCAGTGAGCTGCTGTGAAAGCACCAGTCTCTTTCTTCACATATTCGTGTTTAGTAAGTAAAGTTGGGGGCCACAGGTTACCTCCAGGTGGTAGAGGTGTTTGCTGGTCTCAAGTTGACCAACTGCACACAAACTGCCTATGACAGACCTGGCAGCAGATCAGAGCAGCGGTGGATCCAGACTTGGCAGAGCTGGGGTGAGAGATGGGCAGAAGGGGAAGGGATGTGTTTGAATTGCCTACTGTAAGTGCTAATTTAAGTGTTATGCCTGTATTTTTCCTAATTAATTAAGCGGAAGGTGAAGTTTGGCAGCAGTGGCACTCAACACACATTGCTCTCTTCACCTTGGAGAGTCACCCTCGTCTAAACCACGTGAACACGATGCTCTCATTCCAGAAGATCCTATTTGCAAGCTCATGGTGCCTGTTTGCTAAAATACTGTCGCTAAATTAAGGCACAAATTGATACCAACTCACCTTCCAGAAGCATCTTGGGTTTTCCACTGAGCGTCCTTGTCCCAGAACTGTCCAGAGCCAATGCTGTCCTCCTGTGGCTCTGGCCCTGCAGAACTGGAGCAGGACACACCAAGGACTTCCACCACTGTGAGAAGGAGTAGCCAGGCTCTGCCCACTTCTACTAACGAGCCTTTTGTTTTTCCTTGGTTTCTTTTCCAATGTGGTTTTAGGAGCACTTCTGGAGCTTGGACAAGACAGAAAACAAGATTCCACCCCAGCTTATCTTCCAGATCTGGGACAACGACAAGTTCTCTTTTGATGACTATTTGGGTGAGTTGGGAGAGGTTTTTTGGCTCCATCCCTGATGATGCGGGCAGGAACGAAAAAATTATGGAATCCTTCCAAGATATGAAGAAAGTGCAACAAGACCAGTTTAAGCCACTGAACAGGATTCCGTGTCAGCATAAGGTCAGGGCTGGTGAGAAGTGGTTTGTGTTAGGCAGATTTCCAGCCTCAGCCTGCAGCAGCGTGTTCCTGGGCTGTCATAAGGCCGAGAGCGGCGTCAAATCCCACAGAGGCACCACCTTCCAGGAAGGCCCCAGGTCTCCGTGACTCATCTGAGTCTGTGCTGAGATGGGCTCATCAGGGCTGACCGTGTATTTGAGCCGAGACCACCAGGCAGGATCGCTGACCTGCCTTGCCTTACTTGGGGTGTTTCGACATGAACCCAGCTCAGTCCAACACTTGCCTTTTTCAGTGCTAACCTCACTAATCATCCTCAGAAATCTAGGTTTAGGTCGAGAAAAAAAGAGAACAAAAGCCTCTAGTGGGAAGGATAGCGGAGCCATGCAGCAGATTACCTGTGCAGAAGCTGGAGGCTCCACCATTACGAGATTTTTGGTTGGATCTTGTTCGACCTTTCCTTTTGCCACTAAAAAAAAGTCACACATCAAAAGCTTCACTGATCAAAGTCCTTTTAAATCCTGTCCTTGGTTAATTACATAGGCTGAGTGACAAAATAACCTCTTCAAGGTGTGTTTCTCAGTTCTGGCTCTGCACATCAGGACCTCTTGACTGTCAACATTAATTCTTTGCAAATTCCAGCAAATAAAAGTGGTCTTTGGCTTTTGCAAAGCACTTTTTGTCAACGGACTTCAAACAAGTTTCACCACAACCTTGATCTGTGCTGCTGTTGTTACTGGTTGCAAGAATCCGTGGCACAGAAAAGCTGCAAATAGAAGCACAATATTGAATAAGAGTTGTCCACAGCACCGTAAAAAGTGCTGTCCCTCAGCTGAGCCACAAGGCCAGGCCCTGTGTACGCTCTTGGCCGCTCCCAACTGTAAAGCAGTTCGGTGTAGCAGTGTAAATTAAACACAGGCACTTTCAACCAACACGTGGAGAGCTGAGCTCGGATTTCCTAAAGGCTAGATAAATGTGCTAATTGCTGGGTCACTCTGTCTGAGAAGGAAGCTATCAGTTTTGTGGGATATCCTTCACATTTAGCCTGCTGCTGTTACCTGGGTGAGGCAATAAAATACCCTGTTTGGAGACCTGCAAGCCTCCTGCCCACTGCTTTCACACTGACTGCGCTCTTGGTGTGTACAATTCGAGTTTCACCGAAATCTCCTAGTCTTCCTTTAAAATCTCAGCCTGCCCGGTTGACTTCAGCGCAAACCATCCAACGTTATAGCTGTGTAAGTCAGCAGATATTTTGCAGCATCTTCTAGAAGGACTTCATGACTCAGGTCTTCCAAAGCACAGTGGTGATGCCAACCAAGTGCTCAACTCCTAGGAAGAGACACTGGCTAAAACGAGCGCTGTGCCTGGAAACAAGGCCACGCTTGAGCCTGCTCTCCCCCTTGCTATGTGGGTGTCTGTCCAAGCTCCCCGAGGTCAGGAAGGTGCCACAGCAAATATTTCTTCAGGGAAAGTTTCCATGTTTTAAGGACCTGTTACACCGAGATGTCTTCCCAGTAACGTTCCTCCTTGCAGGCTCCATTCAGATGGATCTCAACAGGATGCCCAAACCTGCTAAGACCGCTGAGAAGTGCTCCTTAGAGCTGGTGGATGAGACCTTGTCTTCAAGTCATTTTGTGTCGCTCTTTGAGCAGAAAACCGTCAAGGGATGGTGGCCCTGTGTTGCTGAGCAGGATCAGAAGAAGATCCTGGCGGTAAGGTGGCCCCTTCACGTGTTCTCTTGGGAGACTCACTCAAAGCATTGAGGAGGGATGTGGCCAAGCACATGCAGGATGCCGTGGTCAGGGCAAGAATTGCAGTTCTGGGCTACAAATTTTACAAACTGGACCAGCTTTTGTCAGCTGGATGTTTTCCAGAATTTGTCCAGCACCGTGCAAATGCCTCAGAAGAAATTATTTGTTCCGTGGGGTTTTTGCTGTGGTTTTTGAAACACACCACCTACTCTGACTCTGTGTCACATCCACTCTTAGTGATACTGTGTTGTGACTAGTACCGGGGAAAGGTTCCAGCTGTCAGATTGACATATTTAAATGCAAGTGTCTGAGTGCCCGATCAAGTCTTTGGTGACTGTTCAATACTGGTAAGGGAGTCCAGGCAGTGAATTAAGTCATTCAACAAAAGACCCCCGAGTTGGTTACCTAAGCTTGGGTATCAGTAACATTTGAGATGTCCTGGAGTATCTGCTGAGAACTTTATAGTTGGCAGGTGAGGGCTCTGTATGAAATCCACTCTTACTGTGCTCCTCATGGTCCTTGTTCGTAGTGGTTGGGTTAGGCTCAAAGTAGTTTTTCTTTCCCCAGTCAATATTTTGCATCATACACTCATTCCTCACCTCTCTGTTTTTTTTTTTATTATTTTGTTTTGCTTTGTTTTATTTATAAGTTTGTTTTTGTTTAACCCACCCAGGGCAAATTGGAAATGACTTTGGAAATTGTGGCAGAACAAGAGCATGAAGAGCGACCGGCTGGCGTGGGTCGGGATGAGCCAAATATGAACCCCAAGCTGGAGGACCCCAAGTAAGAGCATCTTGAATGGACAAGTATCCACCAGGACACAGAGTTCTTGAGCAGCAAGTTGAAAATCTGGGTTCCTAGTCTGAGGTCTGCTGTCTGCAGGGGGCTTGCTCCCACGTAGGCTCCGTTTCTGAACTGCTGATGCTCAGACTGTACGAGCTGAGACAACCCAGGGTGGCTGGGGGGCTGGTCTGGACCACCAAGGAGGGCGTTTGACATAGCCTACCCAGAGGGATGTGGGTCTGCAGGGTGGGCAGCCAGCTTGTTACAGCAGGGCATGCTCATGGGGTTGGGGATACAGAGGGTGAAATGATGGTGAAACCTGGGAGTGACCTCAACTTTGTTTGGCTCCAGGCGCCCAGAAACCTCCTTCCTATGGTTCACCTCCCCGTACAAGACCCTGAAGTACATCCTGTGGCGGCGGTACAAGTGGGTGCTTATCCTGGCCATCGTGCTCTTCGTTTTGCTGCTCTTCCTGGGAATCTTCATCTACGCCTTCCCGGTACGATGGGTGTGGGAGAGGACAGCGGGGCTGACCGAGGTCTTAGGTGTTCCCCCAGGTCTGACCTGCCTCTGTGGTCACGGCGCACGTGGGTGCAGAGTCCCACGCTGGTCCCTGAGGAACATCCCGGTGGGCCGTGATGGGTCAAAAAGAGGGCCTGTGGTTCTGGTCTCTGCCACAGACTCACCACGAGGTGCTCAGCTCTTTGCGCCCGTGTTTCAAATCCGCGTCTAACGACGCGGAGGTTCATTGGTTGTTTTCCAAGAGGTTCGAGCAGCTGATGCCGGAGGTGTTGCAGGGTTGGCGGGAGAATCCCCGACGAACAGGCGGCCTGGTTAGAAACGCAGCCGCTTTACAGGGCTGAGCAGTGGCAAAACCCGCGTCTGTCCGTAATCGTTTAGAGATGCAGGGGGTTCAGAGGCGTTCGGGCAGCCCCGTCTCTTGTTGTCAAGGCTTGGAGGACGTTATACCCATGTAATGTCTGAAATGAGGGGGAGGGTTTTCACCTCATTACTCAAGAAAGTCGCTTTTTCTTGCCCTACCGTCAGTTCCACTGACAAAATGAAACAAATAAATAATGGAGCCCTGGCCTTCCAGTTTGGCTTAGGATGGGTTTTTGTATCCTCCTCTGTTTCTACAGCACTAGAATAATTCATGCTGGGTCTTGGATGCCATTTCCCCTCCTCTCAGACTGATAAGATAAATGATCCGCCTCTCTCTTTCCAGCACTTAACAAATTCTCCTCCTTGTATATGATTTTTTATTTTTTATTTTTAAATAAAAGAACTCATAGGGGTAATTTATAACTTCATGTGGGAGAACGTGGCTGCCTTTTGCAGATGGCTTTGTGTGCTTGCAATGTGCAACCGAAAAGCGAGGTGTGGAATTTCTGCTCGCCATCATAATCGCTTTCAGATGATTTGAAGTCGTGCGTGCTTGGTTGTTCCCATCGAGAAACAAGGGGATGGGGTTAGATCACGGCTCTCCCCATATCTCTGTCCTCGTATTCATGGGAAGGGCTGGGATACTGCTCCTGGAGAAATGATTCCAGAGGTGCTCAGTACTATGAAGGAGGAAATAATTGTGTAAGTGCGGATTTGTGCTGTGTTGCCTCCTCCCTGCCCTGTGCTCGGAGCCGTTCCTGGAGACTCCCCTTTATGTCAAGTAGCAGAAACCAAACCTTTTTGACCAAGAAGAGCTCAGTGTTTCCCTGAAGATGCAAGTGGCTTTGCATTCATTCCAGTGGTATCATATAAAAACAACGTTGGGAGGAGAAAAAATTCACAAACTATAAATATTGATTTACACTCATTATTACTTGGGATTTTTCCCTGTTTCCTAGCTAAAAGTTGTTGTATTTAATTTCGTTTTGGTCGGGTCAGTTTTTAGTCATATTTCGAAAAAGTAAGGCCATGTTTCACGGAATTTTTCTGGTTTTATGTGTTTGGCCAGCTTCCCCTAGATTTTTGAGGTCACTGGTTCTGTATCTACTTGGAGATTTAGATCCTTTCCCGTTTCATTAGGCACTAAACTTGGCAATGGCGCTGGTGATGGTTTGCTATGAAGGATGCCCCTGGCATCCTGGCCTTTGGCAAGGCTCACCATTACATCCCTGAGTCAA